AAAAAAAAAAGAAAAAGAAAAAAAAGACAGCCAGCAGCCAAGAGGCCAGAGGGCGCCCTCTCGGGACCACGGCCCTGCCTGTACCCTGGCCTTAGGTCTCAGGTCACCTGACTCAACTGGCTGGAGCCGGAACCCGAGAAGGTGGGGAAGGACAAAGTCCGGGAGGGGCGTGGCCACCTGGAGGGGAGAGGCGTGGCCGGCGGGGTGGGGCAGGGAGCCAGCGGAGCGCCTCCCCTCCTGCCACATCTCCAGGGCAGCCCTGAGGTCAGCCTGAGACCTGCCCTCCCTCCCCGACTTCCCTGGAGGCCTGCCCGAGACCACACGGCAGGGGTTCACACTGGCGCAGGGCCCATGGGTGGGAGGGCACCTGGGTGGCAGCTGCCAGCTGCTGTCAGGTGGACAGCGTGAGGACAGCGCCCCGCCCGCGGCTGCTACTGCGTGGTGGACCCAGGTCGGGTGGGCGGGGACTGCCTGGGGGACGGCAGAGGCTGGACGGCAGGTGCGGACGGACGCCCCAGGCAGAGCTTCCTTGCTACCACGGGCGGACTGCGGCCCAGGTGAGGAGCCCAAGGGGCGCTGCGCTGGCCTGAGGGGGCCTGTCCTGGTCTGAGAGGGTTTGTACTGGCCTGAGGGGCTCTGTGACAGTCTGAGGGCTGTCCTGGTCTGAGCAGGGTGGTGCTGGTCTGAGGGTCTGTCCTCTTCTGGGGGGTTTCCCGTCTGGGGGGCTCTCGCACCCTCCTTGCCTGCCTGTCTGGTAGTCAGACCAAGGGTCTCAGGTTGCCGCATCCTCTGAGGTGGGGTGTCGGTGGGCGGTCCCTGTGTCCTGGCTCCTGCCGTCACCGGTTTGTCGCTATGAGGCGATCGGTGGCTGGATGCTGGCTGGGGCCTGGGCAGGTCACCTGTCCACTCTGGGCCTCAGTCCTCCATCCTGAAAATGGGCTTGTATCCCCCTCCCGACACACCCAGAACTGCATGCTGACCCTCCCAGAGTGTCCGTTTACCTGCAGTAGCCCAGGATGGGCGCACAGCCGTCCCCGCCCGCCCTTGGTGTGGATGCGACACACCAGGTGCTGGCCTTCTTGGGGGACACATGGGCCTCAAGGTGCTGAGACCTCAGGGCCGTGTCTGGCAGTGGCCAGTCCCTTGGGCAGTGGAGCCTGGTGTGATGCTGTGGCCACCCAGCGATGCTGTGTCCACGGCCAGGCCTGGGGAAGCTTGACACTGAGACTCCTTACCGGGCCTCCAGGAAGAGGAGGCAGCAGAAGCCTCAACACTGAGTGGGAGGCACTGGCCTCGCACCTGGGCCTGCCGGGGTCACCTGGGGCCAGCCAAGATGTTTCCAGGTCAGACTGGAGAGACCTAAGTTTGGAGGTTCAAAGAGATCCCAGCTGTCCTCGTCCAGAAGCCCCGAGGCCTCCCCGGTGGAGGGGCTTCTGGGACCACGGCCGGCCTCACGATGGGTCCACACGTGGCCCCTTGGCAAGTCTCCAGGTGGCCACCCGGGCCGGAGACCCACTGGGAGAGTCTGGAGGCCTCCGAGAGGAGGCGGAGTCCTGGGTGGGCGCAGGCCACCGCTGGGGGTGGCAGCAGGAGGTGGGGGCCCATGGGGCGTGAGGCAGGGGACGTGGGGCGGCAGCTCTGCCAGGGCACCCGCGGAGGCCATAGAGGGCCACGCTGGCCCGGCAGTGGCATTGGAATGGGGTCCCGGGCCCCGTGGGGCGGCGTGCCCCATCCGAGGCCTCCTGCTGCCTGGCGCCCACGTCCCAGCTGGTGACCGGGCCCGCGGGGGGGCGTCTGAACCCCAGGGGGTGTCCGGGGCCAGGGGCCCGCCAGGGCCGGGGCTCGAGAGTTGCGGGGAGAGCCTGCCTCTGGGGGGCGGGCAGGGCAGCACATGGAGTCGGGGTGTCCCCACCCCCCCAGGAGCAGCCCGGCCCCACCATGGGGTGGTCCTGGAAGAAACCCGTCTTCACAGCCCTGCTGGGGGCTGCGGTGGCCTCGGGCCTCACCGTGCTTGTCCTCATCCTGGTGGAGGCCACCAACGTTCTCCTGTCCCCAGACATCAAGGTGCTCCCTCGGGACCCTGGCAGGGAGGCGGGGGGCTGCCCGGCGCTCCCCACTGACCCCGGTGTCGCCCCCAGTTCGGGATTGTGTTTGACGCCGGGTCCTCGCACACGGCGCTTTTTGTGTACCAGTGGCCGGCGGACAAGGAGAACGGCACGGGCGTGGTCAGCCAGGCGCTGGCCTGCCAGGTGGAAGGTCAGTGGGCGGCTCCCGACTGGTGCCAGCTGCGTTTCCTCCCTCGGTGAATCTGCAGACCCCTAAAGGAAGGGGAATCAGAAAGGTTAAGGGACGAGCCCAAGGCCACACAGCTGTTGGGGCGGGGCCCGGCCTGTGCTCCCTTTGCCCGAGCCCGCTGGGAGCCCGCAGCTCTGCGGCTCTGCCGGGTCCGGCCGGGGTGTGCGGCCAGGCGTCTCCCTGCCCGGCCTCCGCTGCCCACTGTGCCCTCCGGGCCAGCCGCTCTGGGCCCGGGCTCCCCAGCCCCACGCCATGTGGAGCTGCGGCCCCGGCCCC